GAGGAGTGAAAGATTGGTAAGCAGGGATACTGCAGCGGGAGTGCAGTCTGGGAGGGAAGAGTGAGGGGCAAAGACAGGAGTCTAAGTTTAACGGGGGTGGGAAGAAAAAGATTCCTACAAGGATCAAAGTCTGAGTAGGGTTGCTTCAGTCCAGGAAGGCACTGAAGACTGATAGCCTGGAAAGTAAGACTGGATGAGAGGGACAGTTGCTCTCCTCAATGTTATTTTCAGGGAAGTTCCATAGCGCCTTGCCAATCTTCAGTTTAGGTTTTATGATCTGAGAAACTGGGGCAATAACACATAAGGGGAGGTTGTAAGTTTAGGTGACTACATCTCCATCCTTGCTCCTCATTCAATGACTTACTATACTGTTCACATGCCAGTTTGAGGTGCTTAATTGGAAAGGATTGTTTATAAAAGATGGTGTGTTAACTGCCCCTTCTTCTCTTACAAGTAGCTGTGTATGGCTTATTGTTCCTTCCTATATATAATGATACTATACATAAGTATTATTTCTAGTGGTGCTTGTGTAGATTTCTTTTTTCCAGAGTCCAGTTCTTTATCTTTTTTTATTGAATGATACCTTATTGTCAGACTGTTTCCGTTGATTGCACCTGAATTACTTAATTAGGAAGTATATATACATGGACAAAAAGGATTTGTTTCAGTTTTTCCAGAATAAGTTTTTGTATTTCTTTATTGATAAAAGGAATCAGTTGCAAGATTGATAGCCATGGGGTTAGTATTGAAAACTTGGTATAGATTTCATTCTAACTCGCAAGTCTGTTGGTATCTAGACTTCTTATCCAAGGAAAAACAAAGGTTAGTGAAGGTGGAAAAATCAATCCTGTTCTTCCTGGACCTTCACTGGGGGTTGTTTTTAATGGTTAATAACGTTTATTTTCTTTCTGTAGGCAATGTTCAGTCTCTGCATGGTTGAAAGCGAAGCTGATGAGGTGAATTTGCATGGTGTCACAAGCCTCGGTTTAAAACAAGCCCTGGACTTTGCATATACTGGACAGGTACTGTACAGCTCTTCAAATTAAGAGACACAAATGAAAGCAAACTGCAATAAAAACTGAAGATTACCTTTACAAAGGTACTAGAAATTATTTTTCTTGTGCACTGCCCTGTACAAGGTCTTTTGATTTAACAGATCTTACTTTGGATATACTGTTGGGTTTTTTTTCTCTATGGAGGGTTTGTCTAATAAAAACACTGTTTATGTGCATTGCTACCAGGTAGTGAACCATGTAGGACTCGTATGCCCCTTTTTTGGTGGCCTGGCTATTCATAAGAACTTAATGTGAGTTGATTCTGCATGCCAAATAAATGTAAAGAAAGGAAAAATACCCTAGGTGTTTTCCTAATAATAAATATTTATAAACTCTGCTTTTTTGACAAATTATATAATTGAGGGGAAAAGTAGTCTCTTACTCTCTGGACAGATGCAGTCCAAGCATATTTGTAAACGCTTATAGGTACTCTACAACTATATTGTAGCACTTTTTTTGATAGCAGGTTATGTATCACATTATGTTACTTCAGAAAATGCAGAGTGATACTCCTCTTCCTGCCCCGCCCCTTCTCCCCCAAAAAACAAACAAACAAACAAAACCTGCCATATCTGTACATCGCATGCTTGAACAGTGTTGCTGTATGATTTCATCTCAGTTCAGAGTTCATGGACAGTGAGGTCAGAACTTAACATCCAGCTATTTTTGCTTTGGACTCTAAAATTACGGATAACCAAACTATTTCTGGAAATATTGCTAGAACGGTTGAATTTATTGATGTATATTTCTTTATTAGTTAATTTTTGAAAAGGAAAGCTTAAATCCATATTACGTTATTCTGGAAGAGTTGTTGGGTTGTACAGATTTAAGGCATCTATTCCCATACTTTGGATTGAGTATATGGTCTTAATTTTTTCAAGGGGAGTTAAATAGAAATAAGGAAGGAATTTGGTTTTTTTACCTGTTTTAAAGGAGCTATTTTTGTCACCAGCCCGCACAACAGTTATACTTTAGCATTGGCCTTAGAGATTAGCACTTGAAACTTCTGTGTTTCTGCTATTATGGAAAACATAACTTATTCAAAGTTTTCTTTCATATAAATAAGAGACAGAGATGCCATGCTATATTACTGAATTTGCTGAAGATCTCAGTACATGGCTTGTCATCCGTATGCTTTTTGTTCTTTCAGTTGAAAGTTTTGATATACAAAATCAAATGTTTTCTGTGCTGTGGAGCACCTAAAGTCATTTGAGACTATAGTTGATTATTCTGAAAATAGAACTCTTGTTGCTAAATAGAAGTATCCAAAAGATACTTTCCAAAGCCAATTTTGAGAAGATGGGTTGTAATTCACTTCTATCTGACCTATCCTGTCCACTCTGAATAGAGGTATACTCCCCTGGCTTTCAGCGAAATTCAAAGTCTAATAAACCTGTGTAAAATATGTTGAGAACCCTGAAAGGATGGATTTGTGTTTTTTGTCAACCCACGATCCACCCTGCCTTGCTTCCAGGATAGTATCCTCAGCTCCCTAGTAAATAATATGTGCCTTCTATCCTTGAACCTTTAGAGACTTTTGAGTCTTTCATTTTCAGGTATAATCTCCTTTGAGTAAATGAGCGGGCTTCTTGAGTTAAATATGGGTGTGCATGTATGTACAGTTGCTCATATATATAACTGATTATAGGGCAAAATTTGCACTCTCTCGTGTCTATCAGCTACATCAAGCGCTACTTCGAAGCACAGAGGAATGAGAAGGATTCTCTAGGAGATCTCTTATAAAGATGCCTTTGAAGTGTAACTCAGTGATATGCGGGTCTGAGAATTAGCAGTGTTGAATTTTCCCTTTTGTCCTTGAAATCCTGGCACTGCATTTACATGTATTGAGCATTGCTTATGTACTGACTCAGGCTGACAGAATCTGGGTGAACGTTTCAAGGTAGTGAGTGGGAGTAATCCACAAAGGCTATTAATAAATAACTGGATTACTGCATGCTTACATCAGAGAGAGTTCTGAAAACACAGTCGTCTTTAGTTTGGGTCTGTGAACTCTTTCTGATTTAAAAAACCAAAAATATTTCTTAGTAACCCAACTCATTCATGCCAATTACAACCTTATATTGCTCTGAAAATGTAGGTATTAAGCCATGATCTGATGTGCCTCTTAAAAGTGAAAGCAGGGAATTTTTTTTTTTTTTTTTTTCAGAACTGCCATTTCTTTTTGTTGGTTCAATGTAAGACTAGATACGTTTGTGGAAAAGATGTTAGTAAAAAAAAATTGCTGTTTCTTTAGGTAACATGGTGGAAGTGACAAGAATTTAGGGACAGTCCTAAGGTATCCATGCCTAAACAGATAAATATTTAGTTTCAGCTTTCTTCTCTTTATTTCTTTAACGTTTTGCTAAACTTGCATTCAATTGGAAGTGTAGTAACTCAAATGTAACTTTCTATGTAAAACAATATGTTGGAGACATCTGGTGGAAATATTTAATATTGCATGATGGCTATATTTGATGCCTGCAGTTTTTGAAAATTATCAAAGTGAAGAAATTTAATTTTTAGCATGACATTGCAATCTGAAATGAAACTCTGTCATCCTTGCATTTTTTATTTTTATTTTTTTACTTTGAAATATGCCTGCGGACTTAAAATACCAACTTTATATTCCTGTCTACTTAGGCAGACAGTGCCTTATCATAATTACTGCTGGAAATATTTTGCTTTTAAGGGAAAATTGATTGTTCAACAGAAGAAAAGGTTGTGGTAAAACTCAAGTTCAATGTAAATAATATCATAATTGCAACTGAATTAATCCATCACTATGATCCCTAATCATCACAGAGAAAGAAATGTTGGTATAGAAATAAATAAAAACTAACAAAAGGAATAGCAGCAGAATTTGGTTTTTTTCTATGCATGTAGGCTCTCAGTAATCCTCTAATAATGAAATATTTGGCAAAAAAAAAGTCTTAAATACGTTCCCTCTTGGCTTTAGGCATTTTACCATGTACTCCCCATATTCAGAATTCAGACATACAACTCTCTTCCTATTGTAGTTGACTCTCTTCCTGTTGTAGTTGATGTATCCTTTCTTCATAAAAGGGCTTTAAGGTCATCTTCTCTTTTACTTCACAGCTGGCAGCAGTAAGTCCAGACCAGAGTCTCAGTGACTAGATTACTCACACTTCCTCCTCACGGGGGCATTTTGTAAGTGTCAGATGTGCATTGGAAGGGAGGTGAATTAAGTATAATCTATACAGGAACTATATATTTTAGAAATTAATATAGAGAAACAGTTCTTGGTGCAGGGTTTGGAGCTCACAGTTCCTTCTAAGTAAGAGTCTTAACCACTGGGTTAGAGAGTCATGGGCACTGTTGCCTGCTCTTTTTGACTTTGTGTGTGTGTGTGTTTGTTTTTAACTATTCTGTTACCAAGAGACATAACCTCATTTGGAGGAATGGGATAACCCCTAAATAGGCCAGTGTATGTAACTCATCATTACAAGAAAAGGTGCTTTTGATCAAAAGAAAACCTTTGGGCATTTGAAAAGTTTCAGTGCTGAAAACAGGCATTTACAAGTGCCATGGGACTGAATAAGCAGTTTGTACTGAAATTTTGGGGCTCCTCATTTTAGATGAGGCTCTTGCATTCTTCCTCAAATTTAGGTCCAGCAAACTGCATCGTTTATGTTGATCTCATATACGTATATAAATTCTAAGCGATACCATCATTTGAATTGGCTGACAGGCACTGCGGTATAGTTTCAAGAAAGAAGAATTGTGCAAGAACACTGGGTTTAATTTGCAGTAGATGATTGTGATCCTAATTCAACAAAAATACAAATACACAGTTGGAGTCCTATGTGTACTGAAATGCTTGGATCTTTCTTCTTTGTAATTATGTTCTATCATATGTCTTTAGTCTATAGTAATAGAAATATTTTGCATTTAGATAAAATTTTATTTGAGGACCTCAAAACACGTTACAAAAGCAAGTAATCGCTATCCTTACTTTGTTGCATCATAGACAGGAAATTATTTTGGGAGAAAATAACTTTTGAAAGACCACACAGAAAACCAGCAGCTTTAATAGGGCTTAATACCAAGTTCTCCTGATCAAGTCCTGTTTTCCTAACTGGCTGGTGTCTCTTTCTTTTTCTAAACCATAATATTTTGTTTCTGTATTAATAGAAATTAAGTTGTCTTCTTGAAGTTATAAAATTATTCTAGATTACCAAAGCTGAAACAAAAGAATTAGTGAGACAGCCCTAATGTAAGAGATGTTTTATGTTCAGCTCTTTCTCCAAAAGCAAATTTTGGGGTAAGTCGTCCTGTGGTATCTTCTTAGCCCAAGATTAACACAGCCTTACACCCTGCCTATAGAAAGAATGTTGAAATGTTTCCTTTTCTTGAAAGCCACCTATGAAGTTGCATTTATAATGAATCAGAAATAGGCTTTAAACTTTTTCTGTTTCTTAGGATATTTAACAGATTTTCTTTTACTCACAAAATGCTAACATAGCAGCAGTCTTTAATAAAGGTGATATCAGTATATTCTAGTTACAAATCTAGAACTTCATGTTATTTTCAGATATAGTGTTATTTCATGTGCTTGGGTTGCTGTCAGTATTACTTTAATGCATTATCAATGTGAGTCCTATTTAATTACTGCCTTTATTTACTAACTTTACCTTGTATTCAGTTAGTTTAAAAACTGTCATCCTGTAACAGCTATTATCACTTTACCAAACAGGTTCGTGAACTGGTAGGAGCACCATCTGGTGATTTTTCAAATTCATGCACACAAACCTACGGTTAGTTAAAGTATTATGTTACAGCTCCTTTGTGAAATTGTTCTTTCTCTTTTTTGTCAAATACTTCAGCTTAGTTATTTCTTTAACAAAAAACATGAAAGAGTGAAAGGTCTTCTCAGTAAAGAAATAGTAGAAATAAATATTTGTAAGTACAACTATTTCTCCTGATAATTGCTTTGATTCCTTTATAGA